CTACAATTGATCAATATTGTTATAATTATCCTAATTGTTCAAAGACAGTTACAACAGTAATTTATTATCTTTCATATGCATGTTATCAGAGTAGAATACTTCGACCAGCTATTTATTTATCTGACTTATTCAAACCTTTGGTAATTGACCCATGCTCTGTCGATGTACAGCATTATAATACCAAAAATGAAGATAATGATAACGAATATGACGAGGAAGATGACGAACATGGATTATAAGAATTTACAAATAAAATCATATCTTTGTTGATAAAACTCATTGAACAGTAAAATATTGTAACATGAAGATATAATTACTCATAATGCTGGGCTGTGGAAGCATTTGATAATTTATGTATTTATTTATAAATATAGTTATACATCCAATATAAGATTTTACCAGTCGATATTACCATATTTTAAGTTCTACTAATAAGTTAAGTGATATTGAATTTATAAAAATAAGCAATGAGTTTTGATAACTCGATTATAAAATACAATAATAAATCCATCCGAATTAAAGATGCTTTATAGTTCGATATATTATTTTTATATTTAAAGTCAATCAATCAAAACAAAGTATTTTGTTACTTATATCTTCTAAATTATCATAAAAATTGAAAAGTCTAAATCATTATAATTACTTTATCAAGGACGAAATAAAATGAAGTCATGGATTCTTGAACACTAACGGAACCGTAAAAGTAGTAATTTTATTCAAATAAACATATAATCTACGATAAAATATATAAAAACTTACGTTCGAGTGGCAGACGCTACAATTATGCTTGAAAAACGACGATTTTTGTGGTATCACGTGTTTTTGATCTATTTTAAAGTACGAGTGTGGTCCAATAAGTACTTAGTCTCACCGCCCGATGGCGCCACTTTCGCAAAAGAAATATTCTATCACGTAGTACAACCTTCTCGATGGTTACTGTCAAGATTTCAGCCGGATCGGAGTTGTAGTTTATTTTTGAGAGCGTGTGAAAGCAAGTGTGTCCGTTGATTTTTGAAAAATGGAAAAAGAGCAGTATCGGTCGGTGATTCGATTTTTTTTGTTTGGAAGGGAAATCGCGCAGCAAAATCAAAAAGCGCTTAGATGCTGTGTACGGTGACTCTTCTCCTTCGATGGCGACTGTCAAAAATTGGTTTAACGAGTTTCAACGTGGTCGCACGTCGATTTTTGAAGAGCCACGTCCAGGTGCTCCGAAAACGGCTACCACGGAGGATAACGTGACAAAAATTCACGTTCTCGTATCGGAAAATCGACCATTGAAGGTGCACGAGATAGTTGAGATCGTAGGCATTTCAAAAGATCGCGTGGCCCATGTCCTGCATGAAATTTTAGGAGAAATGTGTCGGCGCGATGGGTGCCGCGTTTGCTCATTTCGGACAACAAGCGCAACCGTGAGGCAACTTCAGAGCAATGTCTGACGCTGTTTAAGCACAATCCGAAGGAGTTTCTGCGTCGTTTCGTGACAGTCGACGAAACATGAATCCACTGGCATACACCAGAGACCAAGGAACAGTCGAAATAGTGGACTTTACCCGGCGAAAGTGCTCCGAAGAAGGCGAAGACTGCCCCATCGGCCGGAAAGGTGATGGCCACCGTTTTCTGGGATTCACAAGGTGTGATCTATATCGACTACCTGGATAGGGGCAAAACGGTCACAGGGCTGTACTATGCCGAATTATTGGGCCGATTCGACGTCGAATTGCAGAAAAAACGGCCCCATTTGGCGAAGAAAAAAGTGCTCTTCCACCATGACAACGTACCGGCTGACACCTCCGCCGTTGCCATAGCCAAATTAGTCGAATTAGGCTAAAAACTGCTGCCCCATCCACCGTATACTCCAGATTTGGCCATGTGATTTTTCTTTTTGTTTCCAAACTTGAAAAAGTCACTCGCCAGGCAGAAATTAGAGTCGAATGAGGAGGTAATCGCCACCACGGAGGCCTACTTTTCAGACCTCGAGGAAACGTATTTTTCAGACGGGTTAAAGAAGTTGGAGCATCGCTGGGCCAAGTGTATCGAACTAAAAGGAGACTATGTTGAAAAATAAAACGCCACTTTTCCAAAATTTTCGTTTTTCTTTTGTAGGCTAAGTACTTATCGGACCACCCTCGTATGTGGCACCACCTTAATTTAAAATGTAAAAAAGTTTTTTCATGTATTTTTTCAAGTCGAATCGAGGTAGGTCAAAATCTTACGAAATTTGATCTTCACTTTAGAAAATATGAAAACCGACATAAAAATGAAAAAATGCTGTATTTCCGTTAAAAAGGCTCTTTTAAGGGGTTTGAATTAATAATTTATTTCAGGAATGTAAAATATCAGTTAGCACATTTTCTCACCAAGAAAACTAAAAAAAGGACGTCTAGAAAAGTCAATTTCCAGTTGAGTTATTTAAATTAAATGAAAAAATTTCGAAAAAAAAGGTTTTTAAGATTTTGAGGGTCTACGAGGGTCACCGTGGTAGAAAATCTAGGAATGGTCTCTATTTTTAGTGTATAAAATATAATGCCATTCCTAATCTAAAAAGCTTCTGGGCCTAATTTTACATTGTTAAATCGCTAGAACTCTTTAGTCAAAACATAAAACATAAACGACATTCAATGGAACAGTATATGAAAGTATAATATAAATGATAACTATACAATTCTAATATTTACGACAAGTATATTTTACTATTTAATAAATCACACTTCTGCAAAAGTGATATTCTATTTTGTCTAGTTAAAACACGAAAATGTAGATTGCGAATAATATAATTGTGTTTAAGATCAATTTCATGATATAATTGTTATAAATGATAGATAAATCTAAACTCCGACATAATTGTCATTAAAATAAAGTTTATTAGGAAACAAATTTTAGAAAATGAAGAAAATTAGAGAGAATAAAAAATAATACTATTTTCTAATAGTGAGAAACAATAATAATAATAATAATAATAATAATAATAATAATAATAATAATAATAATAATAATGCCGGGCTGGTCCAGTGAGTGGTAACACCTCACTGGGCAAATGCTAGCTTCCAACGTCCACGACGTGCCCGGTGGAAACGTTGTCCGTCGCGTCAATGCTCTGAGCAGCAACGCTATAACGGATACGGCCAAGAGGAAGATATGGCTCACAAATGACGCAAAAGATAATGGTATTCTGCCGATGTGTCCAACCATTAATCACTCATACACATACACACACACACACTACGCAAACACTCACACACACACGCCTTCTGGCAAACCGGAGAAGTGAATGCTCGGTGACCCTATAAACGGGTCTTACCGAAAAGCGAATGGTCGGGGACTCCTATAAACGAAGTCGCCCGAAAGCGAGAGAAGGGGATATCTCTAAACGGACTCTCCCCGTGAATGAAGCCCGGTTTCGCCTATGGGCACTCACGTACACGCACACACCACAGGGGGGAACACTGAACACACAGGGTAAACATACAGGGGGGGGGACCTCAGGGGCCGTGCGCTGTCCCAGCGCGGTTCGTGGAGTCGCGACCACGAGTGACCTTCAGCACAACGGGACAAAACCAACAATATGAATATGCACAATGAAAACATTGATGTACCTCAAGTGGTAACTCCTTCTCAGGAGGAATCCACCCCGGGTTCCGATCGGGTGAAAGCCCCGGTGGCCACGGGCAGCGGCACGGATTTTGAGGGCCGCACTTTGTGCACGGGAATGGGGGGAAAGACAGGAAAAAACGACAAGAAACTACTGAACATACCGAGACGACAGAGGACGGACAGTGGGTCAAGCGGCGGCAGCGGGGTGAGCTACGTCTCTGCCGCTGAGGGCCAAGAACCGACGACAGGACGAACACCGACAAGAACTAGTGATACACGAGACGTGACGGTACCGCTGCGGCGCATACAAGTGCCACCTGCGCGGAAAAACGAGGGCTCCGAAAAGCAGACCTCCAACACTGACGCCGACATGAAAGACGTGGACAATGACAACGGACATATGACAGAAAACCTCCAGCTGTTTCGCACGCAGCTCAGGCGCATTGATGCCGCGCTCGAAAAGATGGAGGGACGGACTAAGATACAGAGAAATATTAGTACGGACATAACGACTAGTATGGCTGTAATAAAGGAGGCGGTGGAGATTGCATGGAGTGAATGCGACCGCCTAAATCCCCTCCTGGAGTCCGTAAACGACAGGAGGACAGAAAGACAGAAAAGAAAGAGGGAGGACACGGGGGCCAGCCCTGAGCAAGCCGTGGCCTATCAAAGGGTTGCGGACGAGTCAGGCTGGACCACGGTGAACTCCGCGAACAGAAAAAAGAGGAAGTCTAAACAGAAGACTAATGACCAAACGACGGAGACGACTTCCCTCAAACAGAAGACGCAACAGACTACCCCTGTGGTGGCGCTGGGCGCGCGGAGGGAGAGGCCACTAGCTTCGACATCCGCAGCGGCGACGCCTATCCACGGGAACAAACGGCCCGAGCTGGACAAGAACCGGCCCAGTGCGGGTGGTTCCCGCCGGAAGGGGGGGACCAACGTTATACTGGTACGGCCAAACGACGGACGAACGTACGCGGATACCCTGCGCAGACTAAAGACGGAGATTAATCCCGAGGGCTCTAAAGTGAGTATCTCGGGATATCGGAAGACTAAGGACGGAGGACTCCTCATGCGCTTTCGCTGTAACGCAGACGCAAGACGGAAGTTCCAGGAGAAACTCCAGGTTACTCTTGGAAATGAGGGTAATGTACGAGACATGACACACGGACAGACACTAGAGATACTAGACCTCGACTGTGTTACAGACACGAATGATGTACAGAACGCATTGAAACGAGAAACAGGACAAGATGCGGACTTTAAGATCCACATTTTCGGACCGAATAAACACGACGTTTGTATGGCAGTGTTCGAAGCAGACAGAGACACGGCCCACAAACTGCTCAAGAAGGGCAGAATTAAGATCGGCTGGGTCAACTGTCGGCTGAGAGAAAGATTGACGGTCCCGAGGTGCTACCGGTGCCTCGGATACGGACATAGACGAACGGACTGCACAGGACCTGACAGAGGACAGTGCTGTTGGAGGTGCGGGGGGACCGGCCATGTCGGGAGAGCCTGCCCCACCAAACAGCCGACGTGCTTCCTATGTTCCGAGGCGCGTGCAACGGAGAGGGCGCACGTCCCGGGAACGGGAGCGTGCGCGGCCTACCGGGCAGCGCTGGAGGAGTGCCGGAAGCAGACACGACAATGACAGGAATCTTACAAGGAAACCTGCGTAGGTGCGAGGCAGCCCAGCTGCTTATATCACAGACAGCGAAGGAACGAAACGTAGACATACTGATACTGAGCGAGCAACTGTGGGACTTACGAGAACAGGACGGCTGGTTCTCGAATACCCTCGGTACGTCGGCCATATGGGTCAAAGGCAAACCGGCTAGGAGAATACAAGCGTCTGGCAGGGGGGAAGATTACGCGTGGGTGAGGGTAGATTCCGTCACCTACGTTAGCGTATATTTGACCCCAAACTGCACGATGGCAGTGTACGAGGAAAAAGTCGGTAAGCTGGAAGACGCCCTCACAGGTCTCCCGGGTGACTTTGTCGTCGCGGGAGACATGAACGCGAGAGCGGTCGAGTGGGGTATGACAACGACGGACAAACGAGGAAGACTGCTTCTGGAAATGGCCGCAAGGCTTGATCTGGTAGTGGTCAACCAAGGGACGACAACGACCTATAGACGACCGGGCTTCGGATACTCAATACCCGATGTGACGATGACGTCAGACAGGATCTCGTCGCGGATAAGAGGATGGCGGGTGACCGAGGACTATACAGCCAGCGATCATCAGCACATCGTCTTTGAGGTGACAAATCAATCGACGAACATACGAAACGGACAAACTAGAGACAGGACTTCAACGTATTGGAACTTACGACGACAAGATAGAGAGCTGTTTGACAAACTGCTAAGGGAGGCACCGTTACCCGCCGAGTCTGTCCCGGCAGAGCTTGGTCTGCGGGAGCGTGCCGAATGGATAACGGACAAGACAACGGAACTGATAACGGAACTGTGCGACGCCACGATGACTCGACGCAAGGGCCGAACACACAAACGAGCAATGTACTGGTGGACGGACGAGATTGGCCTCCTCCGTGGGGAATGCATTGCCTGCCGCCGGAGGATGAACCGCGCACGGAAAAAGAGCAGACCAGACGCGGACGAACTATCGACAGCGTACAAGATGGCACGTAAGAGACTGACCACTAAAATAAAGGACAGTAAAAACCGATGCGCTAGACAGTTGTGTGAAGAAGTGGAGCGGGACCTCTGGGGACTTGGCTACAAGATTGTGACCAAGAAATTGGGGGCCCTTGGCCCTTCTGAACCAAAAGACAAAGACACCATGAAAGCAATAGTAGATGGACTTTTCCCAAACCAACCAGAGACGGAAGAAATGACGAACGAACAAGAGACGACAGTGCCAGAGTTTGTCGGGGCAGAGCTTATTAAGGCTGTGTCCACGATCAAGCCTGGTAAGGCACCCGGACCAGACGGTATACCGGGAGAGATCCTCCAGCAGATCGTGAGCGTACGTCCAGGACTCCTCCTGGATAAGTATAACGCGGTCTTACGTGCGGGCATCTTTCCCAGACGATGGAAGACTGCTAGACTGGTTCTCCTGCATAAAGGAAAAGGAGAGCCGAATAGTCCGTCTTCCTATAGACCCCTGAGTCTTCTAGACACAGCGGGTAAACTTTACGAAGCGTTATTGAAACCAAGACTGACGAACGCGGTAACTGCAAACGGAGGACTTGCAGGAAACCAGTACGGATTCAGACGGGGCTGCTCAACTATAGGGGCGATTCGACAAGTGACCGACGCCTTTCGGCGGACGAGGCTCGTGTGCTACGGAGCGAGGCCAATAGTACTTCTCGCGACTCTTGATGTCAGGAATGCCTTCAACTCCGCTCGGTGGGGGGATATTCTGGAGGCCCTACAAACTTTCAGGGTTCCCGAATACCTGATGCGGGTGATGAGGGAGTACCTACACGACAGATGGATTCGATACGAGACGACCGACAGAACAGTGACCAGACGAATCACAGCAGGAGTCGCCCAAGGCTCAATCCTTGGACCCGACTTCTGGAACATACTGTACGACGCACTACTAAGACTACCGATGCCACCGGGGGTGGAGCTGGTTGCCTACGCCGATGATGTGGCTGTGGTGATAATAGCCCGTACCCCGGAGCTGGCGCAAATGCTTCTGAACCGCGCGATGTTACGAATCAATAGATGGATGACTGAACGCGGACTTAGCCTTGCCCTGGCCAAGACAGAACTCATCCTTCTGACGGGAAGCAGGATTAATACCCTGATTCCCATGACAGTCGGAGAGGTATCGCTGCGGACCAGTGGGGCGGTCGAGTATCTGGGGGTGACCCTAGATACGAAGATGACCTTCTGGCCGCACATACAACAGACAGCGAGGAAGGCGGCAGAGAGGACTTCCGCTCTCAGTCGTCTTATGGCAAATACATTTGGACCGAGACAATGGAAGAGACGACTACTGATGACACCGACCCACTCGATCATGCTCTACGGGGCGGAGGTGTGGGCCGACGCGTTGGGGGTCAAGAAATACTGCAAACGACTGACAAACGTACAAAGACAGGGAGCACTGAGGATAGCCTGCGCCTACAGGACAGTCTCGGCTGAGGCTGTCCTGGTGGTGGCGGGGGTTATCCCGATAAACATGCTCGCCAGAGAGCGGAAACGCGTGTACGAACGAAACAGCGACATGACCAGAACGGAAGCTGCCCAGGACGAAAGAACTAGGACGATGACGGACTGGAACAAACAATGGAGGATGAGCACGAACGGAGCATGGACTAGACGACTCATTGACGACCTGAGACCGTGGACGGAGAGGCAATTTGGGGAAGTGAATTTTTACCTGACCCAGTTTCTTACCGGCCACGGGTACTTCAGGAAATATCTGTTTGACAGAAACAAAGTTAACAGCGCCGACTGTAAATACTGTGGATACAAATGTGATGACGCAGAGCATACATTTTTCAAATGCTCACACTGGAACGACGAAAGGCAAAGACTGGAGACGACGCTTGGAAACATCACGCCCAACAACATTGTGGCAAAGATGCTACAAGACAAAGACTACTGGACGGTAACGGCAACGTACGTTGAGACTATCCTACGAGGGAAAAAGGCGGACGGTTGCCTGGAAGTCGAGTGTTAGACGAGAAGAATGCGGGAGTAAATGGTATGAACAAATGGATGAATGTGAATAAACGGACGTAACGAAACGATACAGGACCCGTGGACAACGAGAGGACTTGACGCGGTTCTCCAGCGGGAAGTAATGCTTACGCGGTTCCCCGCTGGAGAATGGTGTAGGTGGACTTTACTACTCTTCCCCGGATGGCTTACCCTCCGGTTGAAGAGAAGCGGGATTTGGGCGGTCAGCTGGTCTTCGACGACCCGGAGGCTCCTTGCGTTCGATTGATAGATCGCTTGAAACAGCCCGGTCTGAGAGGATCAGCGAGTCACGTCACACGGCGGGTGGGAGAGTGTAGGTGGGTAGCTTCGGTGAACTGCCGTCACACTCCAACCGTTATGGTCCATGAGGATTTATCCTGTTTTTTTACCACCATAAAAAAAAAAAAAAAAAAAAAAAAAAAAAAAAAATAATAATAATAATAATAATAATAATAATAATAACAACAATAATAATAAAGCCGTATAGGCGCTTAGTCGCTACCTATATGAGACGTTAGAACGCGGACGACTGCCTGACAGATGACTGAGCAGACAAAGTGACGCGACGTAACGAGGTACGGAGGAACGACACGAACGGATGAACACAGACAGAACCTTAGCGGATTAGTGGGTAGGCCTGTTTTTTTTTCGGGGAGTCCCACATAACCCCTTAGTCAGCAAGACTAAGGAAAATCCGCAAAAAGGATTCCGAAAGTCCTTGTTAAAAAAAAAAAATAATTTTTTTCAATTACAATAAAAATAAAGTAACTTTTCAAATATTTTCAAACATTTTAAATAAAAAATTTCTCAACAAAAAAGTTACGTATTACCAATGGCTGCAGCTGTTTCTCTAGCATCACCTGTAACCATTTTAATCCTAACACCACTGGCCATCAAAGAAGATATTGAATTACGAATATAAGGTCTTGGTGGATCACATATTCCAACTAAACCTACATATACTAGATCTTGAAGCGATGATCCACGAGCTAAGCCAATAACTGTAAAAAGTTTCCAAATGTATCAATATATCTTCTTACTTGATAAAAATATTAATACCTCTTAAGCCTCGTTGACCAATATCATAAGCTATAGTAAAAAATTCTTGCTCTTTTTTTTGTGTTAGAGAATACATCTGACCATTGATAGAGTATTTTGTGCACTGCGGCAAAATCTTTTCTAAAGCTCCTTTAACAAAATAGATTTCGTGTTTGCTCTAGAAATAGGTAAATAAGTGAATAAATCAAACACAAAAGATCTCTATAGGCTATATATATTCCTAAAATATTATGTACCTCTCCATATTTTGCTGCACACTTAACAGCCATCATTTTTTGCTCAGATGAAAATGGATACTCCTGTATACGAAGATATTTTTCACTTATATTATACATACCATTTTTCATACCAGCTGATAATATAGCACCTTCGGTTGGTTGACCCAATAAAGTATCATTTTGAATAATTGCATTGTTACATACACAACCCACCTAGAATAAAATTTTAAAAGGTGAGTTTTCAAATGATCTCGCATTTAGGAATGTATTATATATTATTTTTTATAAATATTTACTTCAAGCATATTACTAATAGCTGCACGGGCCAGTTCTACATTATCACATTTGTGCAATTTGATTTCTCCCTTAGCATTATAACCAGCACCAGTGACATCCGCAACATAATTCTCAGATGTGATCATTATTGTAACAGTCATTTCATTTTTAGTAATAGTGCCTGTTTTGTCGGAACAAATTACATTGACACAACCTATTACAATTGAAATATAAAATTGCTTAATGTACCAATAAACTATAATTGACTTTTAAGCTGACAAAAATTATCTCTTGAATTTAATATATTCTACATAGATTAAAATTAACATAACAGGGTTAAAAGTCATAACAATTTTCTAACAAAAATTGTTCTTATGTTGAATAAGCTTTTTAAATCGAAGCTGTTCTATCGCTGAAGGGTCCAAGTAAGAATGCAGGAACTTTCGAATAAATTCTAATCTTTTTCGAATCATTTGTCTAGACCTCAAATCAAGCACACACGCATTCTTTAATGTCTATAGACCAATTTTGCTAATTAATTATTTGAATAAACGATTCTTCATAGTACATGCTTTATTGATAACTAAAAAAATATAAAAAATTATTATTTACTAATAATTTTATTTAATATTGCTGGTAAATAAAACAAATCAAAGATGAAAGTGAGATTGAGAGTTTACTGTAATTTCAACATTATTCCTTATTCTTTTTTATGAAATATGGTAAAATAAACAATTAAAGTACGGCTAGTATAATATTAGTTCATTGTACTGAATTTCACATAAGACATAAGAAAAAATTAGATTAAAATAATTTCTCTTGCGAGATGCTCACGTTATATTTAATTTACGTATAGATGAATAATTTTGAAATGAAATAAAATGAATTTTGAAATAAAATAAATAATTTTCATACACTACTTGAATCCTCTCGAGCATACGTATTTCACAAAAATTTATCGGTCAACATTTCGAGGAATTAATTTATCCTTCTTTTCAAGGCTAAAAAACATACAAGTACAAAATTAAAATTTCGAAAAATAAAAAACAACTACCACAAATATCGTCAGTACTTCTCATCATTAATTAATATGAAATTGATGATAAAATAAATATAGTAGTTGGTTCAGTAACTTCTGAGGAAATCACTATTAATGAATAGTCAACATTTCCAAATTTAACCAAAAAATTTAATTGAATACAAAAATATAAAATAATTAGATAAAAGATAATCAAAACTTACAAATTATGACACATTAGTATCACTATAATAAGAAAAAAATTTGAAATGAGTCCAAAGAAAAAAAAACATAATTAATAAAATTTATCTATTAAGTACTTATTTTCGCAACTATAACAAATTTAAGTTTCATTCATTATGTCTCTCTCTCTCTCTGCCCTCTTATGTATTTATATAAATATTATACTATTATATTATACTACAAATCTTAATATATATAGCAGCAGCCGACGCAGCCAAAAGGTGTGTGAGAGAGAGAACAACAGAGAGTCGCGTTAGAGAAAAAGAAAGAGAGAGCAATATGTCCTAACATATACGTCGCGCTGAGAGCATTTCGACAGGTCATGACGCGCGCGACTAAGACTGAGATGAAAGAAGAGACACCGCGAGCGGCAATTAGCTGGTGGACTTAAGGCCGACAACACGTGTCTCTGCTCGCGTGGATAACTTTAGCCTTTTTTTCTTTATTGTACGGCAGTGCCTTGCACGGAAAGAGCTAAGATACCAGTAGATAGATTACTTTGTGGTAGTACCTTTTTCTCGCTAGTACAGTGGTGAATGTTTCCTTTGCCAATACAGTGCTGGGACGTCTGAACAAAATCAAGAGCCCTACACTCCGCCACCACTGTAACCAGTTTAACCCGCGAGGCGATTTCGTGTAGATACTAGGGCATCGACATTTACAAAGGGCATGGTCGACAAACATGTAAATACTATCTCGTAATTGGGCTCTCTCTCTCTCTCCGCTTATCCGCTTTCTCTCTCTTTGTTGCGCTGCTTACGCATGATACCTTGTACGCTCTAAATATTTTCTTTTATATAAAGTGTAACGGGGGAGGTTATCTGAAAAATGGGAAATTTATTTAAGAATAAATTCCCACGATGCAGAGCAAACCGCCGCTCCGTTAAACACGTATGATAGTACGTGTATTCGCCTTAACGTCAGATGATTTATCCTAGTTGTCTTCTATTAAACGGAGTTAAACTCACCTTAAGTCACGTGTCTTGTAACACTCGTTGAGTTTTAAGTGTGAGCGACTTTACTCCTAATCTTCTTAATCCCCTAGATGTAGTTGGATTAAAACCTAAGCATTTTCAATTGCTTAAGCTACTAGGAAAATTAAATTACGAAAACGGCGAATAAATTTAACAGACTTTAATTAATAAAAATTACTATAGTCTTTGTAGGGCTGAAAGACTAACGCACGCGAATAGGATTTTACAATTATTTATATTCGGTGAGAAAGAGAGAGAGAGTAGATTCGAATTATACCGCGAACTAACGCTCGACGCGAATACAAAAAAATAACGCTATAACGAATAGACAAAATACCGAATGTATTTTATATCGCTTATAATAACGGAAGGTGCACCTACCATGCGATGCAATTACGGGGATCAGCCGTAATTGTTATTGCAAAAATATCAACTGCCGCTGCCCCTTGATTATCAGCTGCGCTGCCTTGTACTGCCTCCAATTAGCTACAATCTGCTGCTTCTGCACTGCTACTTGCTGCTGCTTTTTATCTCGAGAATACCGTTGCACTCACGCACGAAATTGTCCCAGAAAACTAATTATTCGACGAAAACAAAGTGCAACACAAATCGGCGGTAAACTCGCGTTCACAGCTGAGGCATAACTGCCTATTCAAAAGATCGCGCGCCCCCTCTCTCTCTTAACTGTTAGAACTAACGCGCGAGAAGCAGAATCGCGAACGGTTCGATTAATTAAATCGACTACCGTTGCAAAAGATAATTTGTTGGGTCTTTCTCCATTGCTTGAATCTTTTCCCATTTCCCTGCGGTTTCACTGCGCTCGTGTATACATATTTCGCGCTTTCAGCTGCGCCAATCCACAACGTTCTACGCGGGCCACAAGACGAATATATTGTAAGTGTGAGTTACGAGGCTTGGCCATACACATGAAATTGCACTTGCCTTGTGGCGTTCAACTGATTTTTTTTTTTGCCGAGCAGTCAATCGAATAATTCTCTCGATTATAACGGCGAAGGAATAATAAAATCCGTTATACAACGAGCACTGAAAGTAGGGTTGGTGATATTTTTATGAAAATTATGAGATGACGCTAACAAGGGAATATTCCCAACATCCGCCTTCAATTTTGTTGCAATTGAAATATGTTATACTTTATAAAAAAAGAAGACACCTAATTTTTTATCGGCGAAAAAAACTGTCTAGGGGGTGAAAAACACCCTCAAAAGTCACCCTTAAAAACAGTTAAACAGCAGTAACTTTGGTTGTAATGAATCTTCTTTGATGAAACAAAATGGAAAAAATTTCTTACTTAAAAACAACAAAACCGCATAGTTTTGGACTTGGGGTGTTGCAACCTAAACGATGTACAGGGGAAAAACTACATTTTTGAGTGGATTTTTTGTGTACAGAATCACAAAATTATCATAATAAAATTGAAAAATAAATTTTAATCTAGGAAATGATGAAATAAAATTAATGTGTTTTGTCGTTTTTTCATTTTTATGTACTATATTTCAAGAGTGAACTACCCCTAAACCCTATTGATACTATATGTATAGTTTCCGATCACAAATTTTGCTGATTTTCCATATGCTGTGACATTTAAAAGGGGGTTAGACAATGACACAGTTAGTCTGTAGGAAAATAAATGTAAGGGCTGCAGATCACCCTCAAAAACTACCTCTAAAACACTATTACAGCAATATCTTCGGTTTATATGAATATTTTTCGACAACAAAAGGTTTAAAAAATTCGTTATAAAAAAGTGAATTAATTATATAGGTTTTGTCTATAAAAGACTTTTATATATTCTTATAAACTTCTTATAAAGGACTTTTGAGGGTATTTTTCACCCCCTAGACAGTTTTTTCCGCCAATAAAAAAATACGTGTCCCTTATTTTTTTATAAAGTATAACATATCTGAATTGTAAGAAAATTGAAGGCGGATGGTTGGGAATGTTCCTTTGTAAGAACGTTTTTTATTCCAAAGGGGAGGGGGGCTCTAAGACGGGTTTTTGAGGCAATTTTGATTTAGCCCAAAAAATTCGAAAAAATTCCTACAGTATCTATTAACAATAAGGAATCGATTCCACTCTAACGGATTTACCTCGGCCCTCTATTCACCCCGAGCACACCTTAGAAAAAGAAAGAGTTTACCTCTTGTATGCAGTTTTTTTGGGTGAATACTCAACCCAATAGAAAAACATCCAGAAAGATAAATCTGCAGGTTTTTGAAGTCGATGATTTCGAATCCGAGGTCCGTTAACCTCCACCATATCAGATTCTAGGTAATTTGAAGGCAAGAACGTAAAAAAACGGATAAAAAGTTCCAAACAAAAACCTACCCACAGCTATATATATATATATATATATATATATACAGGGTGGCCCATTTTAAGTGATCCACTCAGATATCTAGATTGGAGTGAGTTTTATCGAAAAAAGTTTCAGACAAAAGTTACTCAACTTTGAGGGGGCCATGTTTCTATGACCTTGGATTTGACCTTGGAGGTCATGTTCAAGGTCATTTCAAGGTCAACTTTGTTTTTTTAAATAGGAACCCCCATTTTTGACCCCGGATTCGGAAAGAGCGAGAAATTTTACGTCCAAAACGGTAATTTTAAATTTTTTTTCATGGCCTTGAGAAGGTCGATTTAAGGTCAAATGCTTGAAAAACTGCCTAAAAGCGTTTTTTTAATTTTTAAGATATCGAAAAATGACCTCTACAAAATTTGTTCAGAATAGAGTGGGCCACCCAATGCACCAAAAACCTTTGACCTTTAACCTCATTTTCAGACCAAAAATGTTTCAGACCAAAGTTGTAGGGGTTCAAGGGGGACATCTAGGGGTGACTTTGAAATTGACCTTGAGCTTGACCTTGACGGCTTTCTCAAGGTCAAGTCTATTTTTTTATTGGGAACCCCTATTTCTGACCTCGGAATCGGAAAGAGCGGGAAATTTTACATCCAGATAACATC